AGTCTGGGAATCAGATACAGCACGCTGACCCACGGCAGATGCTAGCACAGGCCTTTGGATGAGCACCGACCCATGGGCGAAGTGTTAGTGAAATGGAGCTGCCGATGAGGCACACCTCACATATGTGTCCATCAGGGTGCACTGAGACAAAACGCATTCACCTTGGTGTTATCAGTCATTATACAACCATCCACCCCAGAGTTGCCACATCTTTATTTCCTGTCTTTACAATCTAGGTAACAGAACTTTCCATGGGAGAACTTCTGATGCACTCTACAGTCTCCTGGTTGAATCCATTTCTTTCTCTAGGAAAAGCCAGAAAGGACCTTGAGCTTACGGTATTTGGTTAGTATTCCATTCAAAAGAACATACCTTAAATGAGCCTGGCAACAATGAAGTTAACTGGCCTTGCTAGATTTCCAGGTGTTAGAAGAGATGCTGTGGTGGCCAGTGACTTAACCTAGCCTGCCTGCAACTAGCTAAAACACAGTGGCTTTGCATACTCATTGTCTTGTTATTCCTTCTGCTGCTTGACTCAGCCCAAGAGTAACAGCAGCAGATCTCCACAGGCTATCTGGACACTTGGTATCTTAATGGGTTGCTATTATGCAAAAATCTAATTCTCAGTGGGACCTGGGATTGGAATCATAGGTATGTAAAGATAGTGTATGGTCACAGATGTATACCATAATCTCAACTTTGAGTAAAACAAAAAAGTAGTTCTAGGATCATTTAGAATAGAATTTCTTCATAGAAGAAACAAAACAGAAAAGTACTCTGTATTCACCACAATTTTTGGTATAATGGGGCTTACAGATTTAGAGATTCATAAATTTGAAGAGCTTTGTTCAGTAAGACATTCTTTAACCCTGGAAGAATTTGTATAAAATAAAATTTTTCTTCCCTCTTTTTCTTTCTTTAGTTTTTAAGAGAGCTGTCATACTGGTTTATAAAGAAAACTGCAAACTGAAAAAGAAACTGGTAAGATGACTTACTTTTAATTAGAGCACACTTTCATGGCTGTCTCTTCCTGTAACACTGGACTGCAGAGCCTGTTACGTACCCTGACTGTTGGTATTCTGAGAGGACAACCAAATCAAGTTACTCAGAACATCTCTGAGTCGCTCCACAGAGGGACCATATCTGCTTTTAAGTAGATGTACAAATACTCATGTCAGTCCTACGCAGAAAAGTATTTTATGGCCCTCAAAATGCCCATGTTGTTGCAAACTTGGAAGAATCTGTGTAACTCTGGTTTTCAAATACCTTTTACCTGGACTCAAAACGAACCAACCACAAAGTCTGAACCAAACCCCCAAGTCATAGCTTAGCTCTGGATACCAACAATCAGCAGTAACAGGAGAACATGGATACTGCTGCCTAGATACCTGGGAACTGGGACACTCTGAACCATGACCCTGGCTTTCCCCACCAACCCGGGAGGTCTTTGAAAACTGAGCACACATCTGATTCACTGTGCTGTGACTGCCCATGCCGCTGCATGGATCCCTGAACACAGGAAGAGATGAAGTTTCTATTTGCTGTGCACAGGAGCTTCCTTAACCTTTTCTCTGGGGCCTTGCACCTTTCAGCCCTCCAATTCCCGGCCTGCACACAGCTCTGCTGACCTGGACCCATTTAAGTTCCGCTGGCTGATCCCTATATCTGCACTGCAAGTCAGACTGGGAAACACAGCAGGTAACTTTTGCAGTGCAAGTATTTTAAGAGACTTATTTGAATTGTAGAATAAAGATGTAGAAAGACTAGGGGGGTAAAAAAAAGACTAGGGGATTGTTTTTGGCGTCTTTTATTATAGGCAAGGAAAGTGAAGGTAGGAAAGGTTGTTTTGATGTTTCGTGAAAAGTTTTTGAGAGAAACAAAATACCAATGCACAGCTTTTCTTTCCCAATTACCGCCCTTCATTATTTCATCTGTGTAATCAGTAGTTTTCAAAATTATTCTAATTTTCTTGATTCTTTAAATTTGTTGAAGATTGAAAAATTTAATATTTTACCATTAAATAACAGAAAATTCCTTGAGTATAGCACATGATATTTTAAAAGGGTTTGATCCTAAAAAAATATTCGGAGATGTTTCCAGAATTATGATGTTTGAGACTTCAATTTTCAGCTTCATAAGTGTTCTTAACCATGCATTTTGGCAAAGTTGTAAACTCCTTTGTTTCATTTTTTTTGATGCAGGGACAGAAAATAATTCCATATGGGAGCTGATCCATATAAAGTCGGAAATAGAAGGACGGCCAGAAACCATTTTTCAGTTATGTTGCAGGTATTTCCGAGTTGTAAAAATTAAAACTAATACAAACAGGGATCTTGATGCTTTTTTTTTTTTTTTTTTTTTAAGAGAGTTTTATGCTCCCCTGAATATTAATTTGGTCTCCCCTTGCCCTAAAAGCATGTGTCAGAGTCTAGAAGAATACATCAGTTAGATGTATGTATCCAAATTTTGGACCAAGCACTTTTTGCTGCTTCTCTAAGTGATGAAACCCCAGGTACAGAGGTTGGAAAACTGCTGCTGATCTAGTCTAGGATCTGCAAGGAAGCGCTGAGAAAGGTGATGCCTCACGGGCATCAGGGATGGTACCATGCTGCTTTCCTTTCTCCTACTAGTGACAGCGAGAGCAAAACCAACATTGTTAAGGTGATTCGTTCTATTCTGAGGGAAAACTTTAGGCGTCATATAAAGTGTGAATCACCCCTGGAGAAGACCTGTAAGGATCGCCTGGTACCTCTCAAGAACCGAGTTCCTGTTTCAGCCAAATTAGGTGAGAATTTTGCTTTTATTCAAGAATTTTGTGTTTATTCAAGAAAATTAGGTTTCTTAAAAGAGTATATACTCTTTATAATGTAGCGGTGAGCTATTTCTTGTAAATCATCACAAGGTAACTATTTTTAAGAGACCTAAATATTCCTCTTGCTCCTACTCTTATAAAGTATATCTACATCCACCACCTCATCTTTTTTTTCTCTCACAAGCTGACAGAGGCCAGACTTGGTATCTTATTTCTTTCTTCCACTAAGGATGTACATGAGTCCAGGGACTTTATTTTACTGCAGTGTCCCCAGGGATCTGAACACCACCAGGCATCTAGTTCAATACAATTGTTCCCTCATATTCAACTGCTTTGGAACTCACTGAATTTGGTACTTGACCCATTTTTGGCATGCAAGTTTTATCCCGGCCCTTGTTTGGTGGTCCACCCGTAAGCTGGCACTTGTGGGTATGGACTGCCTTGTGATTTGCTACCTTTCCAGCCGAAGTAATTTGTTTGGTACTCATTGTGCCTTCCAAAATCAATTAATGATGAGAACTGAAATGCCACTGTACTTAATGAATTAAGATCAAGAAACTTCATACTTGCATTTAATAAGTTGGCAAGGAATCATTTCAGGCTATGCCATTCTTGAACTTTCTGCCTGTTTCTACAAGGTCGGCTTCAGTTTTGGAAATTTTTGTATTAGATGTCTTATCTTTGTTCTTGATTTTAGTCTTAAGCATATAACTTCTTTTTGACCATACTCTGACCTCTTCATATGTGTGTAATTTTTTTTCTTTTGTTGAAATAAGCTATGGTTCTCAGAACTAACGTGCTGCTATTCTCTACAAAAACACTAAAATTAAGAGTGCCCTTTTCCCCTTCAACCCAAGGGAACAAAGTTAAACGCAGACACAACTACACACACACACACACACACACACACACACACACACACACACACACAATGTTATTAACACTCCAAAAGTTGGCTGGAAATTCTAGCAGTAACGGTTCTCATGAAAGAAAAAGAACAAGATAAGAAGGTATGCATAGACATATGGTGCATAGACATATGGTAACCTTATCAGATTATACAGTAGTTTAATAAAATAATGAAATGTAGATTTTATTAGTGATTAACTTCAATTTACTCCCTGGAAAAATAATCCTACCCCTTGAGGTAGTTCATAAATAATGATGCTCTGGGGATCTAAAGATACCAAGCTCCTTCAACATATGCTTTCAAATAAAGTTATGTAAAAAACTGCTATGCTTGCAGTTTTTGTTTTTGTCCAAATGCCAGCATAGATGGTAATTAAAGTCAGATGACAAAATTTTAAGTGGTTAACATGTTAAATCTTATGCCTGTGGGCTGGCCTGATAGTTCAGCGGATTAAAGTGTCTGCTAGGCAGGGCATCCCAGATCTCCAGCGCGTGCAGTGCCGGCCACGCCCCTGGGGCATGCCAAGAGGGCAATTGAGACTGGGTATGGTTGCGCATGCCTATAATCCCAGCGCTTGGGAGGCTGAAAACAGGAGGATCACTATGAGTCCGATCTGTGTAGTGAGACCCTGTCCTAAATACAGAAATGACACGATGTAAGCTGTGTGTCACCCAGGGAAATGTGCTTCTCTTTGCAGCATCGTCCCGGTCTCTCAGAGTCCTCAGGACCTCCTGCAGCAGTGAGTGGCCCAGTGAGGGCAGCAAGGCCAACTCACTGGACTCGGACGAGTGCAGCCTGAGCAGCGGCACCCAGAGCAGCGGCTGCTCTGCGGCCGAGAGCAGGCAGGATTGCAAGAGTGCAGCTCCTGCAGTGGGCGACCCTCCTGTGGGTGAGCCCCCTGTGGGCTTGGCAGAATTTCCTGACAGTGTCATCAAAGAGAGTGATATTCTGAGCGATGAAGAGGAGGATTACCACCAGACTCTGAAACGGAGCAGCCCCACCAAGGACATTGAAATTCAATTCCAGAGACTGAGAATCTCCGAGGGGCCTGATGCCCACCCTGTGGAGCAGCAGCCTGGAACGGGGGTGCATGAAGGCCCGAACGTGGAGCAGCCCAAGCTGGTCCGGGCCCATTTCTGCCCCATTAAACGAAAGGCGAACAGCACCAGGAGGGACAGAGGAGCTCTGCTGAAGGCGCAGACTCGTCACCAGTCCCTTGACAGCCAACCTGAAAATATCAACATTGACCTCAATTTTGTTCTAGAGCGAGAATTCAGTGTCCAGAGTTTAACTTCAGTTGTCAATGAGGAGTGTTTTTATGAAACAGAGAGCCATGGAAAATCATAGTACAATTCCATCCAGATAAGGGTTACACTGCTCACTTTTTAAACTGGTGGTAAAGTGAAAATTGCAGAAAAACTATTCATCATTGGTTTTGTGCAGTATGCATTTTCCCACAAAATTGTTGTAAAGATTTAAGTTATTTTAATTTATTGTGGATCAGAAAACTAGATTAAACTTGTCAGAATCTGTAAATTACTTAGTTTGTATCCCTTTTGAGCAGGTATCAAAATGATTTAGAATCCTGAAAACTACATTCTAATTTTAAGTTATGTGGAAAAATGATGGCGAAGTTGTGATTAATAGCTTTCAAAAGGATCATTTTTGTTTTTTCAATCCTCTGGGCATTTTCTTTGGGCTGTTTTTGCTTTATTTAAAATATATTTAAATTATTTTAATGTGGATTGGGGTACAATATGCAGATAGTTCATTTTTGTAGGGTTGTAATAGAGGCTGTTTATACTAAACATGTCATATCTATGTAGTATATATATTAAATGCTTGTACTGTATCTTATATTTATTTTCTCTACCAAGCTGTACAGTAAAAGGAACATAAGTCACCTGGTCACTGGTATTTTATTGTCATTCTGCAAAAGTAAGTGCACACAGAAGCAGCTCACACTGGGATCAACCTGTCTGGTCAAGAGCCCCTAAAGCGGCACCTCAAGTCCGTAACTCCCTTCTTTCTCTTTTGCCTGCGATTTGTCTTTCTTTTGCTTCAGCTCCTCTCTAAAGTTATAACCAAAAAGCTGTGGGTCTTCATCACACATTTTTCTGTATATGTCACAGAGGCTCCTGAAGTGCAGAATCGAGAGCTGGGTGGGCCGAAGAGTGGGATCTATGTCTGCCAACTGCAACAGTCTCGCCGTGCTTTCTAGGCGCCGAGCTTCGGGGAATAACATGCTGAGGGAAAGGGGAAAATCAGCATTCACTTAACTTCTGTGACTCACGGTGCTGTCTCCTACTCTCAATTGAAAATGACACATGCAGTTCCTGGCAGTTGTTCCTTGAGGGTGTGGCAGCAGCAGTGGCTGCCGGAGCCTCTTGGGTTACAGCACAGGCACCAGGAGTGACCCACTGGAGGCAGAGCTAACCCGACTCACAGGGTGTGTCCACAACAGGAAAAACTTTGCAGCACTGATGCATTCTGCTTTAAGGTAAGTTTAAAGAAATAGCTGCTCAGTTGAATTCTTGTAGAAATGTGTATCACCTGTCTTGCATTTTATTTTGGTGTTGTGGAAATTTTTTTTTTTTTCCCTCTGAGTGTCCCTATGTAGTTTGGGCTGGCCTTGAACTCACTATGTAGTCCAGGTGAATCTTGAACTCACAGGGATCCTCCTGCCTCCACCTCCTGAATGCTGGGATTAAAGGCATGTGCCACTACACCCAGTTGACTTTCATTTTGATAAAGCTGTATTATTTCTTATGTAACCAATCTCTAATTTTGATTTCCTAATTTGTACCTTTGGGACACTGCCACAAAAGAGTGCCCTGTTTATCAAAATTACAAAATAGCTGATATGAAAATACAAAGTTATTTTATTTTCAAGCATGTCCCAATCCACCTTAGTTGGAATTAGGCAATTTCTAGCTCTTCCTCAAAAATGAAAAAAAGTAAATATTTTTAATTGATTTAGTCATCAAAGAAGCCACAACAATGAAACTAAACAGTACTTTTTGCTCACACTCTGTACAGCTGTTTGTCATAATAAGAATTAACAGTAGGTCGGCCAAATAGCTCTGAATTAAAACACCTGTAAGCAGGCATGGGGCTGGGGATTGATCCCTTAGCCTGTGGTGCTGATCCCATCCCATGGGGCAAGCTGAGATGGCTTCTGAGACTGGGTGTGGTGGCACATGCCTATAATACCAGCTCTTGGGAGGCTGTAAACAGGCAGATCACTACAAGTCTGATCTAGTGAGACCGTGAACACCCTGTAGACCCTTCCCTAAAATACAAAAAACAAAAAAACAGTAAGCTAAGACTTAACACCCACCATATGAAATCTTCAGGAAGTTTTATAGTTGTAACTTTACAAAACAGCTGCTTAGCCATATCTGAAATAATATCACATGATACAAGGTCATTTCCCATCCCCATAAAGAGAAGTCAAATAGAGCTATGTGTGGAAGTCTTAGGAAATGAGAAAAGTTGCTGTGAAGCTAGATATTGACTACATAATATGGAAGTCCTTTATGCTTTTCTTTCTTAAATAGGCCAGTTGGGTCTAAGTAAACATTCTTTACACTCTCACAACTCACAGTAGGGCTTACAGAGGTGCAAAGGCTTTAAATTATTATGCTGTTGTGCTCCTGCTGTGGGTGGCACATGCCCATGCAAAGTAAGGAGTAGAACAGAGGAGCTCTGGGCTAAGTGAAAATGCCTGTAGGAAGACTGCTGTCATGTTGTTTTGGAAGCTCAGAAGTTATGTTTATTTCTTAGCTAACAGGTGCATAATCACAGCTAACAGGCTGTACTTGTGTGTCTCACTGCCAGGTGGCTTAATCCACTGGTGGGGTACATGTATAACTGTTCCATGCATGATTGGTCCACTTTTAGCACCAGTGGTATAAGATGCCCACTGAGACATGCACATACCTCCTGTGGTACAAGCCACCCAAAAGGACATCATGGACCACCAGTGGTTCACAGCGGCCGGATGATGTTAAAGACTTGGTAACTCAGCACAGAACATGCCTTGTACAAAGTTACCTGAATCCATCTAAGGGTGACTGAGAAGTGGCCTCTTTCATACAGGTCAGCACGAGCCATGAAACTATTTTCAGTTGTACTCTGGACCAAACCAACACAACTTGCAGGTGGCATTTCAGGTGGTTTCGCTTATCCTCAGTGGTAGGCAAGTTTTGCCCATCACAAGATCTTAACTAATTTATGTTTAAGAGTCACAAGATGAAAAAGGAGAAGGTAGCAGTCTTACCTCAGGCCTCGGTGGCAATATTTCCTTCGGAATTGAAATGCATTCTGAACGACTTTTTCCACCAGCTTGAATGGCTGCTCTATCTTGGGCTGTATCAAAGGCATGAAGTGCACCACACCAACGTCCACCTTCAACAGAAACAAGTGTGTATCACTGTGGCATAATGAAACAATTCATCTTTGAAAATCACACGAATATGGGCTGTTAAGAAGAGTTTTGACAAATGTACTTTTCTTTGTGCTTGTTTCCTGTTCCCAGGCTGCATAAGAGGCTATGTTTTGGATTTGAGGTAGCTCAGAAACCCCAGCTGGCTGTACCTACTCCATAATGACATCCACTAGCCCTGGACCTGATGATCACTTAATTTTAAAATGCAGTTTTACAGTGGCCTTTTGCCATGCACTGAAATGCTCATTAAAGTTAGGAGGCACATAGTAGCATTAAGACATTTTAGCATTGAGAAAGAAAATAAGCTGCAACAGCAGTTCTGACTATAAGGCAGACCTTCAAAGCAGAAGGCAGACAGCCCCCTGGGACCACTAAGTGCTAAAATCTGGAAAGAGAATCAATCAGGATACCACCTATATTTGGTACAGACACCAATTACTCAGCTGGGCTGAATTCATCTACATGGTCTTCCACAGAGCTACATCTCTTTCTGGAAGCAATGCTACATGCTCCAGGAGGGACAGGCAGCACTAAAACTGAAAGATTTGTCACTGTTTAACAATATTTATGTTGCTAGCAGCTGCTGAGATTTTTAAAATTATATGAACATAAAACGTTTCCTGTTTCACCTTTCTGTGGAAGGAGTTAGTCTGTGAATGGGTGACAGTGGGAGAAGCACATACACCAAATGCTGAAGTGTGTGACATATCTGGTAAGAGATTTATGACCAGCTTTATCCCCCAAATGGGCTCACATTCAAAGGAAAAATACTGAAAAACAAAGGGAGAAATGGAGTCTAAACAGTTCTGACAGAGACCACCATGACTTGGAAAACGGGAAGTTTCCCCATGACAGACCAAAGCACTGGTCTCCAGGAAGTGTTAAATTTGCTATTTGGAATGTCATTTTCCAAAGGCTAGGAAGGTGCAGTGATTTAGGCAGTATGGCTGTTCTGTTGCTTTTCAAAATGTTTATTTAAAAAAATCCCATACAGGTTACTATTTCTTCTGAGATTTCTCAAAATCCATGTGGCTATATAATTCCTTATGAAAACGGCCGGTAACACATGAAGATGGGAGAGGACTGTTTTTATTTAGGGTAGAGGAAAAACAATAGCCTATGCTGTGGGACCTGGTGGACAAGCAATGAAAATGACCAAATACATGTTGTGCCTCAGGGAGCCACATGGGCTCCTGAAAGCTGACAGTGCTCTTCATGCAGGGGTGACTCGCCTCACAGGCCACCCTTACCCGCTCTGATCTTGTCCCCAGAGTTTTAAGTCACTGAAGTTGCACCTACTGTGGATACACTGCAAGCCTGAAAACACAGGGATGCGAGGGAGGTTCCACATGGGAGGGCAAGAACTACCAGTGGAAGACGCCTTTCTTCACCAACAGTGCCTCCAAATGTCCCCTACTTTTATGGAAGATTGTATGGTGAAACAGTGGTTAAGAACAGTAACAATCTAAATACAGTGTTAAATGCTCTTGATGACCTTTCAAACTGAGTTCTATGGTTTCCTTAATCAGTTTCTTCAAATTTAGTAATTAAGTATTTCCCATAGGAATCTAAGAAGCCAGAACTTTCTTCAGACTTGAATAGTACACACTGGACAGATTTAGGGGTCTTCTGAAAACTGGTGGTCACAGAGTAGACAGGAACTAAGGAAGACAAGAGATTGTGAAGTGAGTTTGGGCTTCGGGATGAGGAGTCCTACTGTAGGGAAAAAAGGTGGTTTCCTGTTTCACCTTTCTGTGGAAGGAGTTAGTCTGTGAATGGGTGACAGTGGGAGAAGCACATACACCAAATGCTGAAGTGTGTGACTTCCCACTAACCCTGAAGTGCCTACCCTCATGCTTCTGATTTGAAATGTCTTTGAGGGCTCTGGGGTTTTCCTCTCAACTTCTCTCCTTCTCTGGTTCCACTCACTTTCTGAGCTTCCTGGCATTTGTGTGTCTGTAGCTCATTCTGCCACCACTGCAGCTCATCTTCTGTACCTTGTCCAGCCCCTTCTACCACATGACACAGTCAACTCTGTCAGGAATTCCAGAGTCACCAGGAGTGAGCAGCCTGCAGGTCTCCTGATAAAATTACGTTCCAGTAAACTAAGGCGTAAGATAAAATTTAATCCTTAAGCAACCCTAAAACCATGAAAACTGACAAAACTCTACATGATGTCCAAGAATTGCTGAGACCAAAGGCGGAACTTCACACATGGGTGTGATCTTTCTTCAGCACAGAGTCTGTCACTTCTGGCTTCCCTGGATTTTAAAATACAGTCTTGTCTTTATTTGCCTGATTTCAGTCCTTTAAGATATAGTTGGTGCTTGCCAGTACAAGTAATTACTAACTTGTTTTGTTTACATTTCTGTAGGTTGAAATCTACATAGCAGTAACCTATGCAAACTATTGCAGAAGAATTTCAAGTTAGAATTCAATTCTGATACCCAGTTAAATTATCTAACACTGTATTGCAGCTAAAAGAAAATGTCTTAACACAGTACTGTACTACTTGGTGGAGGACTCTAATACTCAGTGGCAAAAAAAGCTCAGCCAGTCAGGTTTCCTGATACAGGGAGAAGGGACCCTTCAGTTTACCCTTTCCTCAAATCCTTCCCCCAAACACATTTGTTAGAATTACTCTGAATGATGGAGACCACTGACTCTAGAACCACAGGGAGGCTGCTTAGTAACTATGGTAACAGATACAAAAGTGCTTTTTACTTATAATTGAATGCTTAAAATTATAGCCATTATTTTTTGAGTATAAAGTCTATTAAAAGGTTAGATTCTCCCAAAAATAGATACAAAAGGAAATAGATGCGTTTAAAATATTCCAGCTTAATACTGCCAGCCCCTTTCCAAACTCTGTACATATACCCAAATGACCTAGTAATATTCCAAATTAAGAATATATAATTAAGTTTTTGCCTCTCTGACTTGTCATAATGTCAGCACTGTACCAAACTGACTGCTCCTCCATGGCATCAGCCTTGGTTCTGACAGGCCCAGGACCCACCTTCTCTAGGCCAGTGTCTAGGATATGACTATCAGCTCAGAGCATCACTCGACTCAGAAGTGACCAGGGGCAAGAATCACATCTTAGACACCAGAACTCAGACCTGTAGGATGATGCATTGACCACAATGAAGAATATACAACCTAGTTACTGATCACAAGCTGAAGAGGTAAATCACTGCCACACACACACACATAAGTGAAACAGACTATATTCTCAAGATGATGATAAAGACAAACCAGAAGCAAGAAAAAAGGGTTAGAAAATTACCTTTTAACCAGACAACATACATGCATAAGTGAGAAACAACAGAAGGCATGGTAAGAAAAATAGGCTACAAGGAATACTCATCATAAGGGGCCACAGATGGGCTCCCAGTTCAGAATGTCATGGACAGATTTGGGTGGTCAGGAATGGGAGGCATCTGCCTGGTTTGGAAGGCTGTTGGCTGCATGTGGAGGAGCACAGGACAAGGATTTGGGAGAGTCACACTCTGTCAGGTGAAGGTATAGGTATGATAAGCACTCTGGAGATCTTCAAAGATCTACACCAAGCTAGTAACAGTCTGCATTGGGGCATTTCAGGCCTTGGAGCTGTAATTTCTCTAGGTGAGGATAACAGGGTGGCAGGTTATCCATGCCTAATGACGTGATAATTACGTTTCATAGGAAACTTTAAAAAAAATGTAAATATAGATAAAATTACTTAGAATTGGTTTACCTTGTCTATAATCTCTGACCCAAACCCAATTCAAGGACAGAATTTCAGGTGCAAAAATTTGAAAGCACCCCAGGTATTACAAATCAATGTATTCTGTAAAGATTTACTATACTCTCAGTAGCTAATTATGTTTACAATATGTAGGTTACTGTAAGCATTCTAATTTCTGCAGAACTTTTTCACTACCTTTTTCTTCTATACATCTTTGGTTTCTTCCTTCTTACAATCATGCCAACAGATCCTGGGCAGTCAGCATTCCTTTGCAGAGCACAAGCAGTGGGAAGAACTGGACCTGAGATGAAGAGTGAGCATGAGTAGCAGTGTGAAATGGCACTAAGCAATGCACTGGTGAAGGGAAGCGATGAAGTTTTTTTACTGTGTATTTATGTATGTAAATACATGTATGAGTATGAAAATTATGCATTTAGTAATAATATGAATCAGTTACTCCTGGTCCAGAGGTGAAAAAAATTCAAGGAAGCACGTACTTAATGCTGAAGATAGTAGAAGAGGAATAAAAATTAAAAAACGGATTGGAATTTCCTCTGTTTCACTTAATCTAGAGTTTCTGGATGATCCTGGGGGAAAAGGCTCTTTAAAGTCTTCTCTATTATGCCCTAGGTGTGTGGAGCACAGCAACTAAAGTTCCCAGTGTGACTGTCCTGGGCATGTGCTGTGATAGTCCTGGGTTTTTAGGAGCTACCTGAAGAGCCTTGGAGCTGCCCTGCTGGGACCTCAGTGTGACAGCATACTGGACAGGTGTGACAGTTTGGCCCCTAGTTTTGCAGGTCCAGAAAAACTCCAGAACTCACAACTATCAGCCCTTACAGATGGTTTCAATCTGAATAAACTCTCAAAAATACTTAAAAAAATGCTACTGCTATACTATCAAAAGAAACATAGATGAACATGGATGTAAATATATTCACAAAGAGCCACAACTGTCAAAGGACTAGACACTACCATCTGTGATATGCCTACTCGGTACATCTATTTCCTGTAGTGGCGGATTTTACTATTATTGTGGTTGCACTATGCCAGGGATTCAGTGTGGATATAGTCATAATGGCTACTGGCCACAGCCTGGGAGACTGAACTGTGTATGCAGGGGACTGGGTTTCTGAATGATGTATCAGCACCATAGCAGCTCTTTTGATGATGTTTTTCTCAATCATATGTGTCAATGCTATCCTGTTCTGTCATCCTCTCCTGTTTCTGACC